TTTATTCTTTTACTAGCACTTACGTGCACCATCGACGGCAAAAAAGAATATTAAGAGCATACAAAGGCAAATGTGAGCAGACATGAGATATAACGGATTAGACCTTCTTTCTGGACTCACAGAATATATTTCGGAAAAAAAGCAAAAACCCGAACTTGCCAAGGAATCGAACCCCTGACCTCGCAACTGTGACGCAACATACCTATATCTACCTATCCCCTACACCTTCGAGTTCAGTGTCCCGAGACGCACACGCTAATATGCTTCGCATCCTGAATGGCCATGGTGACCTGTTGATCTTTCCTGGTCAGCTGTCAAATGCTCCACTTTTGGAAGGTATCCGTAGGCAAGTTATTAGAAGATTGCAGAAAAAAAGACATTGAACGAATATGGGAATGCCCTCACTTTAGGTTGCGTTCATACTTTGCTTCGGCTTCTTTTGGCCATACGGCAGCGCATTTGGCGTTTCGGACTACTAGAAACGTGTGGATATTGATCTAGCGTTTTAGCGACTGTACTTCTGAACTGCCCGTGGAAGTTTCAAAACGCTAGATCGATACCTATTCTTTGCTTGCCGCTAAAACGCTTAGAACGCTTATGCAGTGAACGCAGTTTTAGGAAATCCTTGATCTTTTGGTGTAGAATAAACTTCTGACGCGTTCAGATCGCGATCGGATCGCTCGAGCGATTGGGTCGCGCGATCGGACTACGCTTTTCTGCAGCTTCACGGTGGAACGCCCAGGTCGTGGTCGCGCGGATCGCTCGAGTATCTTACAGTCCTCATCATTACGGACTGTCGGGGCGGCACAGCCGCGCTGCACTGTGACGCGACAGCGGCTGCGGCTCGGTGACGGCGAATCAGCTGATTTCCATGGAATTCGGCTGCGAATTCCCACTTTTTCAACTCTTCGAGCTTCGAAAGTGGAAGGTGAGTTATTTTGAGCAATTTTAAATTGTACTGACTCTGAATGCGCCATTTGAATAAATGCCTGAAATAAGGCAAAATACAAGGAAAAGAGCATATAATCGACATAAAAATAAAGGAAATCAGAGCCAGTACAATTCAAAATTGTTCAGAATAACTCACCTTCCACTTTAGAAGCTTGAAGAGCTGAAAAGTGGGAATTTGCAGCCGAATTCCATCGAAATCAGCTGATTCACCGTCACCGAGCCGCAGCCGCTGTCGCGTCACAGTGCAGCGCGGCTGTGCCGCCCCGACAGTCCGTAATGATGAGGACTGTACACATCCACTCCCCAAGCGGAATGCTGAAAAATCTGGAGGAGAGATTGTTTTACGATTTTGCTTCCATTCGCACACAGAGTGAGAAGTCAGTTTAAAGCTGTACATGCAGAAAAAGGAATGACTGGGCGTTCCAAGGTCAAGGATCACATGGAGGCTTATCGGCCATCAATTCGCGCAAAAAAAAGGTCAAAGTCAAGACTTCTAAATTCCATGCGCTCAATTGTCATGCTACATTGTGCTGTGCGGTATCACCACAACAAGAGTTGATTATCATTTTCGGTAGCTATCTTCACACAGGGAATCTTTTATGAAATTGAAATTAAGGGGATATCCATGGCCAATACAATGATTTGCTTCGTTTATTCGAATACGGTGGTTTTCCTCCAGAGGCTAATTATCTGTTTCTTGGAGACTACGTTGATAGAGGCAAGCAGAGTCTCGAGGTCAGCTAAATCTGCGCAATTTCTATTATGTTTATAATGAATTGCTGACTGTGGGAAACACTTGAAAAACATCAAAGATAATTTCAGACAATTTGCCTTCTGCTTGCCTACAAGGTGAAATATCCAGAAAATTTCTTCTTGTTGAGAGGGAATCACGAATGTGCTTCTATCAACAGGATTTATGGTTTTTATGATGAATGTAAGCTTTTTTTTGCAATATTCAACTGCTCTTTTTCGTGCTAGTGGCTTCATTGCATAACCAGTCGCCTCGCCGGCTGACGCCGGCGCAGCTCCTTCTGATGCGGCCGGGCGGGCGCGGCTTCGCCGCGCGTGCTTTCTTTCACATATTTCTAGATTCAACTGATATCCCCCTTTTGTTCTGTACTCCATTTTTTTCCGGTGTCTGAAGTACTC